CATGTGTAAAACCAGAAAACAAGCATTGGATACGGCTGCCCTTGACAACACAGACCTTCATTGTTTTTCCAGAAAGTTGACGGTTAAAAAAATGACTTTGTGTAATGAATGTATGCATGTGTTAGAACCTTGAGGGACAATAACAGAAAAAGTGATTGTTTTGAATGTAAAGTAATGATTACATTCAAATAATCATATATATATTTGATTAGCAGTTGGTCAATCAAATGTATTCTAATTTATTCTATATATTTTATATGGACTATTCTTATAATCTATAGATATACACATTTCTGCTGTTAATGTGTTTTTCCTTTTCTCATCCAGATGTGGAATAGTATAAAGGACATTTGTTATGTGCTACATTTTGTGGCACTCAAATACTGCCAGAATCATTTTAGTAGAGAAAGCTGCCCACATCACTTCTAAAGCTTTGCAATTACAAAAATCTGGTTATATGCTGTGCGCGACGAATCATGAGACAATGTTTACGAGGTGATATATTGTGATTGTGAAAACTGTGTAGAACACAGCACCATGTATATAAAAATGCTTTTTTCTGCATTCAACCACATTAATCAAATTCCTTGTAACATCAGCAGTACTTTGAGAGGGCATATATCTTTGCAAATAAAATAAAGTATTTACTGAGTTATTTTTTCAATATAAACTATTAATTAAAAAAATATATATTGTGTTTGATTTCTGTGAAACACCTGGTGCAGTTCAGCATCAATGAACAGAACATGGCCTGATTCTAATATACTGTAATGCCATCGCTGAGTGCAGTATTTAACAGACAAACACAAGCTCTGGCACATTCATATGCAATAAACTAACCATCTCTGGTAAATGTTAAAGAAAATGAATGAGAAAAGTTAATCTTAAGAATGTAAAAATGCAATAAATCATCCCCCTGACTATGTTTTACAACCGGCTGGCACTCAGTTCAAGGCACCTCTGTCTTTTTCTTACCTTCAAAAGATTTACCCATCAGTCAGGGAATATTTTCCTACGGGCCGTGCTGGAGAGACAGCTGCAGGGCTCTCATGAATGTTGCAGCCACATATCATGCTTCCTCGGGAAGTCAACAGTCATGACATGAACTATGTGCGAGCTTCCTCTCACACACACATTTCATGGTGAGATAAGTGGAGACCTCAGCACAGTCCTGTCAGGAGAGTATTTACTTTCCTCGCGGCCGCGTCAAGAGAACACACACACACACACACACACACACACACACACACACACACACACACACACACACACACACACACACACACACACACACACACACACACACACACACACACACACACACACACACACACACATACACATATGCACTGATGTCACACACGTGCAAAAGTTTGCTTCTCATTCACAGCTAGAGGCATTTGCATATAAAACATTTGTTCCGACTTTCACACTAAAGAGCTGACTTGTTTTTCTTTAACATACTGTGAGGTCTTGTCTTAAGAGGTCCTGTTAAGAATGTGAAATACATTTTAAAATATCACTTGATTAAGTTTTTGTTACTGCTGAAAAGTACATCTGGTACTCAAATGCCGTTCCTGCACTTTACATTTCATGATTTTTCTTCATACCCCTTCTATCTTTAAGATATAGTTACTATTTAGATAACACATGATAATCTTTATAATACCAAACCAGATGATCCAACTTTCTTTGGCCTGTGACCCGTTATGTAAAACTTCACACTATAAATTGGTGTTGCATAACTTTTCTTTCCTCTCCTATCTCACGACCCCTCAGATTTATCTCATGACCTTTAGAGGGCCTGACCCTTAGGTTGGGAACCACTTGACTAAACTATGTAATTGTAAGCTAGAGTAGGTCAAACTAATTCCACCCAAACTATCTAACTATCTGTGATTTTTGCATTATTGCTTTAGTGACAAGAATCTGTTAATGTCAGATGTAATTCAACTGTCACAGAGGATATGTATTGTGCATTTCTACTTTTAATATTCTAACTACATTTACAGGATACTATAGTAAAGGGTTAGAATACTTTACTCACCAGTGTTCCCAGTGCATTAAGAGGGAGAGCTGGTTCTGATCGGGATGAGGAGATATGCTGTAACCTTATCTGCAGAAAGCTGCTGTGTGCTGCATTATTTCATCTCATGTGCCCTAAAAAAAGACAAAACATCAGAGAATGGAAAAAGCATGACCTCAGACTTTGTAACCTGGCAGATATAATCCAATCATTCTGCTGAGGGCCTAACTCATGTTTAACGCCAGTCTATACATCATACTGTATATCTAATTTAAGGCCGGGCTGACTGCTCTTTGAAGAGGCAGTTTTCAAATCACATTCCAGTTTTTCCCTCCCAAACAGCAAATTATTTCTACTCCCGCGAGACGTGTGATTTCGGACTCAGAGTTGGAGCAAATCACTTGCAGACTACTTCACGAGGAGTTTATTAATCTGAAACAAGGGGTCTGGGATTCAAGCTGAAGTATAAACAACCTCATCATCAATGGACAACGTTTAAAAAAAAGAAAATAAGCTTTAGGCGCTTTCACACCGCAGTACTTTTCCCAAAAAGGTTAATCAGAATTGAGTTCTCTTTAGTTCTCTCTTTAGTTCTCATGAACTAAATACAGATTGCGTTCACACCGGAATAAATCCCTCGGGGAGGATTAGGCAAATGAAGCCGCTGACGTCACTTCTTCTTCTTCTGCTTTGGGTTTACTGGCAGGCCGCAAACAACTGCCACCCAAAGTCCCCGGCCGGAAGTCCCCGGAGTTGGGGACTGGCTTCAGTAGAAGCTGCTGGGAGCTACTGAAGCCTTCCGAGTAAATCGCCAGAACGCCGACACCTCCTCATCTCCACCGCTCCCATGTTTTCTTAGTCTCTCTGCGTTTCTGCGCTGGGCTAATGCTAATGCTAATAATGCTAATGCGAGGATAATAAAATGGCGGCTTCACAAAACTTTTTGGGAGTTTTACGGGGCGTGGTTTGCATTCCGCCCAGCCAATCAGACATAGGAACCGTTTTCTCCCACGAAAGTACCTGCTCTCTAGCAGGGACGGAAAAGGGGGTAAAAAAGGTTCTGATTAACTAATTTCAGTTCCTGCTCTTTTTGGTGTGAACGCGACATTTCGGAACTATATCGGAACTAAAGTGGGAAAAGTACTGCGGTGTGAACGCGCCTTTTGACTACAGAATGTGCTTGGTTCCACCTCAACAACATCCACAGACTCAGGTTTGACGCCATATACCCAGGGCCGTCCCTCCCTAGGCCGATCATGCAGGCTGCATGGGGCCTCACATTGCGCAGGGGGCCTCACGCAGGGGGCCTCGGCTTATGAGCTCGGCTTGTGCGCAGTTCTCCGCGCAGTTCTCCGTCTAGTTGGCTTACATAACAGTTAAAGTTTACAGCCTAAAAAACATGGAGCATTTTTCCCCCTTTTATTCATTTTTATGTCAATTTGCACATTTCATGGTGATGCTTAGCCTCTCCCCTTGACTCCTAACAGTCATCATCATGTCAACCACAACACAGAGAAATACTGATAGAAATGTGTGTGTAGTTGATACATTGCTGACAGAGGGAACCACATTTGAATAGATTTAAGAAATATCAGTTTTTGAGCATGTAATAAGCATGTTTTGTCTTGACTATATTACAACTATATTATAATAAAATAATATAGTATTTATATTATTGAATTGATTATGATTATTATTAGAAGTAGTTTGTTTGCATCAATTATATTTTAATCTTTTTGAGGCTAGTATTTGGCAGGAAATGCAGACGTATTCACCTGTAAACGCATACTGAACGACATCCATGCACATTTACCATTTACCTCACTGTATAAAAAAGTAACTGTTGATAATAATAATAAACAGGAATTATATTTGCTATGTACTTTGTTTCCAAAACATTTTTTTTCACTCCTGTCGGGGGGGGGGGGGGGGGCCTCGTCTCACAATGTCGCTTGGGGCCCCAAGTTGGCCAGGGACGGCCCTGCATATACCACAGAGGAAAGATACGGCAAAAATGTGCCCCATAATTGGTAACAGTCTCTGAATTTATGTAAGCAAGGTAAGCTTTAATTAATCCCAGCACAATGAGGATCTTCTGCGGAGCGTGTATTTGTTTTTGGACGTCACCACAGTGCCACTCTGGAGCCCATCAGATACAGTGTCTAAATACACAGCAATCAGATGGTTTCTTTCCCTTTAAAACCCACCAATGACTCAGCAAAAATTACCAAAGGTTATCAGGGGGCATCTACCACCAGACTCTGACCTACATGAACCCACCCTCAGTTCCCCCGAAATGTGCCTCAGAGCCCTATTTCCACCTCATTAAAATCCCTAAATCAGGCTGTTTAAATCAAGAAGTCTACAGGAGTGGGAATGGGTGATGGGAAAGGCAGTTTGGAAAGATGCCGAACGTAACTGGCACGTCTTATCTACCACATATTAGCAAAGTTGAGAAATGGTATTTGCCATGTTGCATTAGCCTGCTGCCGTCCCATCATCGCCTGCCATTCCCAGCAACAACACGATCCAAATGCAGTCCAGATGTCTCCGCCATCGAGCTTCAATATTTCACTACCCCTGCATTAATCTTATCAAGTGTGTCACATATCCCTGCCTGATAGCATCTCGCAGGATTTCAGAAAACCTGCCTGCAGCTGACCACAGCTTCATTAGAAACTGATATCACCTTCAGATTTATGTTGTGCATAGATTAACTAAATAAGCTATAAATCTAACAATAAAACAGTCCGTTTAACATGTGAATAATTTGCAGAGGGTTAACAGTCTTGTTATCTGAAGGTACTAGATTTACACTATTTGGCTGTTTGATTTGGCAATAATGTTCACAATGTTTTATTTTAGAGATCTATTAGGCCCATTAAATACAACAGTTTAATACTATGCATTTAAAAGCATATTATAAAATGTGTATTACCACACAGCTTCTCAACATTCAAACTAACGAATGGCAAATAGATCATCAAGTTTTTATTCAAAACTGTACATACAAATGTTTTTGCCAGGTTAGAGTTCAGACTAGCCTCCTGCTGTCTTAATCCTGAAGCAGAGAATACTTTTTGTTAATGCTAGTAACCTGAGGCTTTTACAAAAAGTCACAAACCACAAAAGTAGTACAAAAACTATATAAAAAACATGTTTTATTTTGTTCTACAGATATAAGATTCTCAGCTAAATTAACACTCAGAAAAGGAGACATGTCTTATGCCTTATTAGTCAGCAGTTTTATTCTATGAAAAGAAAAGAAAGAATATCTATTGTAGATCAATTTTCATCCTCATTGAAGAAGCTGACGAGGCACTTTGCAGCGTTTGTAATATAATCTGTAACCATTTCAGGAATCAATTGTATTTATTGTATTGTCATACACTTTCTGTAATACTTCAAACTGACATAACTTTCTGCAGGCTCATGTCTGGAGTTGCAGACAGATCTGGAAACAGTCACCAGTCTGCAGTCCAGTCTGCTCCACAAGCTGATGGGTTTTAAGTGAATATAATTCATAATATAATGACATATTCAGTTTCAGTATGATGAAACAATTCCCTCATGATGATGCATGTTTCAAATGTGCATCTAAGACTTGTAGTCGGCAGCAGGTATTATGTATTCCTGCAGGACACTAAACTACTGAGCCCAATACTGAATGACAATTAGGTAAGCTGGTTTCTCAACCCGCCATTCAATTTCCTGAGCCGAGTCGGGGATACCAACTATGCCTTCACACGGTGTAAAGACTCTTTTCGTCTCTTAAGAATACTTGTCCTTGGAGGGAAAATCCTGTTTGATGGGTCCTGATTGCAAGGTCCAAAGCCTGTTTCCCAGAAGGCCAAGCTCTCTCTGGTTTCCCCAGCTCCGGCCCTCCAGGGTCAGTCCTCGTCGGAGGAGAGCTGCGTTCCTTCGTCGTGAACCTCTCTGTAGGCCGCCATGGGGCCGCCGTCAGGAGTGTAGCTCCCCACAGAGACCTTCAATCCCTCCGACAGTTTCTGGGCTGCCAGCTTGGCGTACAACTCCTGGAATAAAACACAGAGAAAAAGTTGACATGAATAGGCTGGTAAGAAGAAAACAAGCACATTATTATTAAGCAGCGCAGCCATTAAACCCTCAACAAAAGTAGAACTGATAATAAGCTTAACAGGCTTCTGTTAGTTGTCAACAGCACACTGTGACGTTTGGCTCTTTCTTTGGATGTGATGAGACACACAGCGCCTCACTGTCTGAACACTGCCCTCTACAGCTGATGGAGGGATCTGAAGTGGACTTTACTGCAATTCCTTCTCAATTACTCCAATGTACTTGGATTGGATTTTGAATCCACCAAACTTACCATTGTCAATAAATGTTCATTTTCAATTATATGTTTCATAAAATATATTTTTGCACATTCATGGCGGCCAGTATTTACATTTTTCAACTATGACATTGTAATGAATATACAATATTAAAAATTGTATTTTTTAATGCAATGCAGCAAATTCTTATTTTAAACTGGATAAATCTGCATCATACATTTGCATTGAAACTGAAAGACACTGTTGTTATCTATTAACCTTAACACCCTTCACATTATGATTGGAATAATTTCAATTGCTGTATGAACAAAGAGAACCCATTACTGGTCAAATATATATCTATAATGTTTCTAACAGGAACATTGCATCTTATGTATTGCGTACCAAATGACATTAAGGCTGTGAAACATTTTGGCTTTGGGTGTGAAATATTTCGTTACTGTAATTATCCAGGATGCGGAGGACTCCAGCAAATAAAACCGGCTCATCTTTTCTTAGAATGAAACATCAATGGCCAAATATGTGCAAGACCACCTTTCTGATAATTATCAAGTAATATAAACATTGCATTCATACTATTCACATTATAATTGTTAAAAAGATAAAATGAGGGTGCTAAAACAACTGTGAATAAAAAATAATGATTTCCGATCATATAAAACATTGTTCAGGGTTTAAGTCTGATAAGCCCTTAAAATAATCCACCTGTTACTCAAACTTGAATTCCTTGCTTGTAATTTCATTCATTTTTTGAACAAGGCTGTTTTTGGTCTGCCACATATTTGTAATTCACTTTGTCCGATTGCAACCATGGCATTCAAATATTGTTACTTCATCATGTTACTACTAAGGAGCATTTTTCATTTGAGAGAAAATGTGCTTCTGGAATGATCTGACCCCTCCGTCTGCCTACACATACACTGGATGCATAAGATAAGAGTGTGGAGGGCAGGGCTGCACTAACCTGCTGCCTTCTGGTTTGATCCTGCTGTAGTGAGGCTGACTCCTCCAGAGACAGAAGCTTGGCCGGACTGTAGATGAGAGGAGGCATTTTGGCTGAAGTGATGTCATCAAGGTGCTTTCTGTCCCGCTCCCTCCTGGCCTGAGCTGATAGCGGTGATGAGGCTCCAGAAGAGCGGCTGGGCGACAAGGATCCTGATGGAGAGGGGTCACCTCTGTCGGGCAGCCTGAAAACACAGTGGAGAACATCTTATTTAAAATAAGAACTATGAAATAAAGCAAAAATAACACACTGTTACTGAATGAAATCTACATAAATGTATACGCTTTTTTGGTATATGTCAAAAGTCATTATAACATCATGAAAAAAAGTCAACTCACTGGTTTGGTTTAAATCTTTGCTTCCTGGGTGCTGAAGTGTTCTCCGTTCTTTCCAGGAGAGTAACATGGTGAGGCTGATTTGGTATTTGCTTTTTGAGAAAGTAATTGTCTCTTGCTGGGATGTTTACTGGTTCTTTGATTTTTAAACCAGTATTAGTTTCAGACAGTCTGACCCGTTCAAAGGCCTCAACAAGGTCCCCGTCTTTCTTTCGCTCATCAGAGTTCAGAGAGGCCCCAGCCGCTGCCGTCTCCATGGTTTCACGAGCAGCTTCTCTGGAGTCAGACTTGTCCTGTTGCTCGTCCAAAGTTTTTCTTTCCTGCACCTGAGCTGAGACAGCATCTCCTGCAGCAGCCTCACGTTGCATGTTTTGTTGTGAGGATGTGGGTGCGTTGGGGACACCACGTTGTGAAGTGAAAGCATGTTGGTACTTGGACTGTAACTCTTTCCTGGCAGCAAACACCAGGCTCTGTTTCTTCTCATCTTCATCAAAGTGTTCAATGGCAAGGTGCACTTTCTCTGCAAATTCTCTTATCTTTTTCCCTTTGTCAGGAAGACTCTGTAAAAACCTCCTACGAACAACACACAAACATTATTTGATGTTTTATTCAAACAGTTGACATTATTACCATATGAGAGAGCCTTATGCTTGTTTACAACAGTAGAGATGATTTGTTGAGTTGTAGAAAGCAGCATCTTCTGTTATAAGAATGTCAGCATACGCCACGAAGTCAAACATTAGTTAAGTCACAAACTTAGCTACAGCTTCAGCCCTCTCGGGTATAATATATAGACGGCACAAACTATGGCTGATAATAATGAAACTCACGTGTTCGAGAGTATCTTTTCCTGTCGCAGAAGCAGTTCTTGGAGCTCCTCTTTGCTCTGTTTCCCCAGATCTCCCACCCGTCCCTGCCGCTCTGTCCACGACGAGGACATCACTGTTAGCTATTGACAGCTAGCATTAGCTAACATTAGCTACACACATTCACAAACAGTGTGAGCTAACGTCTCAGTTATACACGCCGGACATAAACTATTACCATACATTAACCAGCTCAAAAGTAAGCTGTACTGATACTTTTGAAGTTAAAGAGTTTAATAAAGCTGTAAATGCGACAGATTTACTTCTTCAACACATGAGACCACAACAATTCAATGTGGGACTCTTCTTCTTCGTGTGCGGAAATGTGAGCTGTAGCCACAGCGCCCCCGCTGTACAGGACAGTACTGCAGCTCTTCTTCATGTCATCATGAAGAGGTCACGCTGAGCCAGGGAAGGTGATTTGCTGCCCTCTGTTGTTAAAATTCAGTCATTATTAACACTAAATTTAGATTTCAAGAGTTGTAATTTCCAAACTTTATCACAGACTCAGGGTCCAGATAAAAGACAATGCATTACACATATTACATTACAGACAACATTGCAATAACTCATTTTAAAAAAAGAATAACAATCTGTATCCTACAAAGACAACTTGTCTCTGCAGCTTTGATTGGTAGCTTGTATTACTTTGTATGTTTGATAATCGAAATATGATGCATTAAGATAATGTGATGAGACATTAATTGGTATAAAGATTTTTACATGAGATTCCTTAAGACAGTGTGAGTGTTGACTCCTGCAACCATAAACATTTTACATGTGATACACCATTTTGAGGAATATTCTCATAGCGTCATTAAAAGGTACTCAAAGTCACTGTAAGCCCTGTAAGCATGCATTTCTGTAGTTTTACCACAAGAGTGCATCATAGAGTCGCCTAACACCTTCACTCTGTCTGTGCTGTGCATACACTACATTTCCTAAGAATAGCAAGAATTAAATGTCAATAAACTCAGTAGGTTTTTATGGAATATATTTCTTTATTTTCTCCAATCAGAGCTGTCGGTCTGAACAGGTTTCAGAGTCTCAGAATTTCCACAGCTGCATTTGCCAGGCCGGATGTTTCCCAAACATTGTGCCAAACCATTTCTCTATCAGCGCATGAAACAATGACCCAACTTCAACCAAGAGGTTACAGCTGTGTCCTTATTGTCCCCTCTCAGAGTTCACAGTCAGTTTAACGTTTGGCTGCAGCTGCATGGTTGGAATAACATCTTGGCAGACTTTACCTCTTAAATTATTTTGAAAGGACATACTTTTATTTTATTTATGTTGCTTCCCTATTTTCTTTAAGCCTCCTGTTGTCTTCGGGTGAAATCTGACCGATTTACTACTTTCATCAAACATAACTTTTTTGTTTTACATTTGATTGCATTAAGGCTTTATGATATCCTTCACAGTAGACATTTGAACATATAAAATTGCTGACCACCACTTTCATTGAACCCATGGTGTTCCCGGTCAAAAATGACCGCCATAGAGAAAAGGAACCATCCGGATCAGATAAAACACACACACAAACACACACACCCACACACACACATACTCTAGATGTGTTCCCCCCCTTATGTGCCCATCCCCCCACATGGATCAAACCTGGCACTCACACACACACAGAACAATTTGACACATTTCCCGCTCTTATGTGCCCATCCCCCCCACATGGATCACACCTGGCACATGCAATACATGTTCAGTGTCTATTCTTTGCTTATTTACTGCAGTTTTTCATGTATACCAGTAGTAGTGAAAGGGTGTTAAATGAAATTTGGTGATGATTAATGGTTTTTGTGTTAATGTAATAGCAGTTAAAACAGGACCGGTCAAATTTGACTGCGAACTCCAAAGTAAGGGGAGGAAAACGAAGACAATAGCATGCAATAGTGATTAATGTCCTTTGTATCAAGTAATATTTCACCAGACACTGTCAAACATCTGTCTTACATTTAGCAGTTTTCTCCACATGTTGTAATTAAAATCCAACAAACAAATAAAAACTGATATTACATAAGCTGCACTATAGTGTGATCCTGAGCATGAATGTTATACTTTATTGATAATATCACCAACTGCACACCTTTTGTCTTTCTAATCCTGATCTTGCCACATACCTATTTTGTCCATTTGTCAAAACGTACTACTCTAGCTCTAAAGATTTTCGAACGTTTCTTTTTTTTGTAAATCAACACATTTTCTTGCAACATCACTGATCTCAATAATCGTTCTGACGCAACGTCTTGCCTCAAAGTCAACTATTCTTCTATCTTCTTTGCACAACCATTAAAAGTTGTTACCAGGCAACTACAGATTTGCATTATGAAGCCTGTGTAAATAATGTACCGTAAATTATAAACACTGTACAAGACAGTTCCTAAAATAAAGTTGCTGAACTTTTCCTTACTTTAAAGGTGGGGTATGTAATTTATTTCAGAATTTTTTTTTGTTATATTCCATGGAATGCTCTTACTGTAACATCCCGATAGCAATGAATATTAAATGCTTTGACAATAAATACTGTAAAAAAATTCCTCTGTGGAAGCCGTAGTACTGTAAAAAGCACGACCAATCATTTTAGCTGGCCCGGCTAAAATAACTGGGTGGCCTACCTGCCTGTCAGCCTTCCATCTGTGCACAAACTTATCTCGTGCCCTCATTGGTCATGTGCGCGTTCGTGTGTGTTGGAGGAGGGGCTCTGTAAGGAAGTGGCAGATTTTTTCCGGTTGTGTATTTTCAAATTCTAGCGCACTCAAGCTGGTTTCTCCAAAATGACCTACCCCACCTTTAAAGTTCATCTAGAGTTCAGTGTTCACACGTGACATTAAGTGTGAAATTGAATCATTAGAATGGAAGGAATACAAACCATTTAAAAAAGGCATGATACCTAAAGGCAGAGGGATTCACATCAATGAACAATGAAGTAGTTATAAACAGGCCTGAGAAAATGTATAAGGTTGCACGGTATATAAGGGATGCCATAAACAGGTTGTACTTACACAGTAAAGTCTTTATTATCCAAACATATGTTAGCCTGTTATCTCATTAGTTGCAGTATGATATGTATCGATAAGGAAAAGGCACATCATAAAGCTCTTTTAAACACAGTTGTGGCAGTGCAGACAACAGCTGGGTAATACTTGTGCCTCTGGCTCAGGGATGGCAGTCACCTCGGTAAGGTATATACATTTAAAGTGATTAAACAGTCTTATCATTAGCACATAAATGTACTTTCAATTATATACTAGATTACCCTGTAGCCAACTCATTATAGAGATTCATTCCCACCAACAGAATCAGATAGTAGGATGTTCACAAAGGCACAAAGCAAGGTAATACATATTTTGTTCAGAAGGTGACAATACCAAAACAATATTCATTTCATTTGTACAGAGCCAATATAAAACTGTAGGAATATAAACAATAACCAAACTTCATATAGGAATGAATATCGCTCTGAGAGCAACACAAGTGGACTTCATTCAGTGTGGACACAGAAATATTATCCATAAGTACATTATTTACAAAATACTTTTACAGAGTATTATATTATTTACACCCATACAACAAGCCACATTTTATTACATACAGTATAATAGTGCTACATGAGAACATGAGCTCAAAAGCTACACAAAACATTTTGCATGTCACTTGTAGTTATTTTTTGAAGATAACCAGCAGTGAAATAGGAATGAATACATTTAAGTTTTAAATAAACTTTTCAAGATTTTTGGAAAATTAAGCTTATTTGATAGTTTGCCAATAGTTAGAAGAGAGAGTATATACCACTGTCTGTATGATTAATGTGTAACTGCACTTAGCTTAGCTTTAACCGAAGCAACATATTACTGTACAGTAATTGCAGATACATTTAGCTAAGATTAGCATAAAGACTGAACACGTGGGATATAACTAGCTGGATTGCACTATTTCTTGGCTGAGATCAATAACTCAAGTCCCCACAGATGTCCAACAATCCACCAGTAGGCCATTTAACAATTTAGTTAACTTCTTGCCCAAGATATCTAAACACCCGTATAGTCTTTCACAATTCACAAATTTGAAAAAAAGTTTAAGAGTTGTTTAAGAGCTGCAGACCAGCTCGACATTTCTTTTTTCTTCAGTTTTTCTGCTAAGCTAAGCTAATTAGCTGCTTTCTTAGCTTCATAGTTACATTCAAAATTATGAGTGGTATCAATCTACTAATTCACCTTTCAGCAACAACATGGCAAACTATGACTTCAAGATCTATCTATGTTTATCTTTGCTGTTATATCCATAAGTTTCATGAACGCTGTATAAACCTGAGGTGCTCGTGATCTTGGTTGAGAGGACGGGGAAGAAGTGGATTCCTCAGGACTTGATCTTGTGTCTGTGTTTGGTTTTGCGTCCACCTCATCTCTCCCGGACTGGACTGGACTGACAGCAGGCTCAGATTCAGACGGGTGGGGGTAGCTTAGCGTCCCACCCGGTACAGAGGAGTTGGCCTGAAGGAACCGGCTGTATTGCACAGGAGTGTACCTCAGTAAACTGGAGTCTAGCCTACTGGGTGGAGGGTTATTAGCCCTGAACGTCCTGGGTTGGGTGGGTGCTAATAGGGAGTGGAATGGAGTTTGAATGGGGGATGTAAGAGATGAAGGTTGCATGGAGGGTGAAGATTGTGTCGAGGAGGATGTTTGTATCAAAGTTGGAGGTAAAGTGGGGGGTGAAGGTTGAATCGGGGGTGGAGGGTGTTCGGGAAACACAGGTAGAATGAATGATGGAGGTTTCATTGGAGGAGGAGGTTGAACAGGTGGTGGTTGTTGAATGGGATGTAGATTAGTTGCTTCATAGTGAACAGGAGGTTCAACATCATGCCTTTTTTCTTCACGTCTGCAGATGCACAGTCAGACATCAAAGAGTGAGAAATCACCTCCAAATGATGCACCAAATTAAACCAGATGCTACTAAAACATGTTTATTTAATTTCTTCTTACCCAGGGAGCAGATTGCACCCTACCCCTATCTCGTTGGTTTCTCGCCTATTCTGTGTGGACATAAAATACTTCAGCTTGTCTTCTAATTCATTATTCTGGGAAAAGGAAAACAGGAAACAACACTGTCAGGTCAGGTACATGCAAAGGATGGCAGTCACTTTCCATGTGAAAGTGACTAGATAGGTGCAGTGACATGAGGAAACCAAACAGAAATAGCTGAAAGTTGAGCATTTAGATTTCACAGCAACCCAGACAATCTTTGCTGTAGTCATGCAGTAGATTACCACGCAGCACCAAACTAAAGCACACAATTAACACACAGTGAAGCATCTGTCCTACCCTTTATATAAACAGTCTTTGGCCTTACCTCACACTCCACTATCGCAATTCTGTCCAAAAGCTCTGAGATGAACATGTCCTTCTGAGCCACTTTAGCTCGCAGTGATCCAACCTAAACAAATAGGAGATTGGAAACAATGATCATGTGTTTTCAGTCAGCTCATATTCATTCATTATGCATTAAATATTGGAAATGTGTATGCTGGCTAGCAGACAAATCTAACATTGATGCATGTCCGTGTAATATCCTGTGCAACAAAGACTTTGTTATACCCTTTTATAAGAATGTATTGTGAGACGTACTAATTCAACACTGTTCCTATTTCCCCCAAAATATACTTCAAAATGACATAGTTATTTTCAGGAATATTCTTGGAAAGTATTCAGAAAGTTCAGACCCATACAAACAAAGTGTTACCATTGGCAACAGAAACAGTCCAATAATAATCAATGCTAGATACTTAAAGGTGGGGTAGGTAATTTTGGAGAAACCAGCTCGAGTGCGCTAGAATTTGAAAATACATCGCCGGAAAAAATCTGCCACTTCCTTACAGAGCCCCTCCTCCCACACACACGTACGCGCACATGACCAATGAGGGCACGAGATAAGTTTGTGCACAGATGGAAGGCTGACAGGCAGGTAGGCCATCCAGTTATTTTAGCCGGGCCTAAAATGATTGGTCGTGCTTTTTACAGTACTACGGCTTCAACAGATGAAATGTTTTAATGGATTCTTTGGACAAAAAGTGTATCTCGAGCCGGTTTCTCAAACTTACCTACACCACCTTTAATGAGGGAAACCAAACTGTGTTATGTACTCAAGAATTGTCAGTTAAGATACTAACTTAATCACCAACCCTTTATCTTTAGATCGTGAGTGTTTAACTGAGCCAGTGTAACTCCCCACCCTTCCTTGACTCTGGGTTATATTACGTTTTATATTCATTGTGTGCATTGAACTCATCCATACACTGCTTGGTAAACAAATTCCTTCTTATTCAGCTGATATCTCATCCACGCCCATTATTTAAACACAAGTAGGACAGAAGACCTGAACAGTATTCACACACAGATTCACACACAGATAAATAAACCCTCCCCACCTCCTCGATCATTCCTTTGACTTTTCTCTGCTGGCAAAACACCATATCGTTCAAGTGTTTGATTCTCTCACGGAGAGCCACAGATTCGGATTGCAGCTCTTTTGACCTAAACAGAAACGAGCAACCAGTTAAACTCGCATTTACTGTATATGTTGCATTGTTGGAGAAGCCTGTGACATAAGATTTTCAACTGCATAATTACTCTGTAGCTATGTCAGATTGACAATAAAGAACCTTGAACCTTGATATGAATTACGATGGTAAAACAGGGTTAATCTTTTCCAGAAATGTGTGGCCAGGTGCTTCACAGATTGAGGTTAAAAACTTAAGAGGGAAACTGCAGCCCACGATTTTGCAGCCTTTATTGAAATACTACAAATGATAATGCACTAATGTGTCTAAAGGTCATTCATCTAGTGTACTGCCAAAACAAGATGGTTTTTTTAAGCATGAAAATGTATTCCTGAACAACTTATGGTCCTCCAATTAGCTTTTCTTAGGATTTTCTACTTTTTGTCCTGACAAATGACTTTAAAATGTTAAGATCTAATTCGGTGACAACTTGATACCTGCTTCTGGTTGTTACGTTAAAAGTTCAAAAACAAAGCTAGTACTTTAAGTGGAATTTGGTTTAAGCCCTTTTTGTCATACTGGTGTTTGTTTACAACGACAATATTTTCGTACTTTTTGGCGACAGTTGCATCAGTTTTGTCTGTAAGCTCCATCAAGCGAAGGCGCTGTTCACATTCCTGCAGCTTCTTATGGAACTGACTCTTTTCCTGTGAAAAGTAATTTTCAAGTTAAAATATCTGCAGTAATTGTAGGGTGATTATTTTGTGGAAAAAAACTGCCTTACCCTCCCCATACACTCAAGTAGACGCTCCAGTTCAATGATCCTCTGGTCCCTGTCAGCAATCTTGGCCTCTGCAATCCTGATGTTTGTCTCGGCCTCCTCCAGTCTCCTGATGTACTCATCCAGTTGGGCCTGTGTGAGCAGCAATACATTTCGGATTAGACGATGAACTTCAATGATAATCAAGAATGTAGCATCTACATTTTTTTCAGTCAGGTTGATTTCACTTTGGAGAACATTTATCACTGCGTCATAATCTTTTTAACTTAACACAATAGTTTATATTGGCACTGAAACAGCATTTTGATAAGTTAAAGAACAAATAGTAAGGAATGCAGACCTGTAGGTTTTCGATCTCCTCCCTGTGATTCCGCTGTTCATTCTGCAGCTTCTCCTCGTACTCCTGCTGTAGCTTTGCTGAAAGCTCCTGCAGCGCCTGATTGTTGGCCTCCTGTGCAGACTCCACCTGGACAATCACAGCAGAGCAAGAATCAGGCTGATTATTCCATATTGACACTAACATGGAAGATGCAGCTGATGTGTTAGTGTGCTGAAGTGAGATAGTCTTTCAGTCAATCTTGTACTGCTCTTTTCTTATGAGTCATTTCCATCTACAATGTTATTAACTCATTAGACAATTTTAGAACCAACCTCTGTCATACCAACTGAGTAACAAGTACTGTATCTCCATGAATGTGCCAAAGCAGGTATTTCTACTGCAGTGTTTTGATGTTTGTGAGATAGATGTGTGATTACCTGCAGCCTTAAAGTCTTGTTTTCAACCTGCGAGGCCTCCAGCTCCTTCTCCTTCTCTCTGAGTTTATCTTGTGTTTTGTCACTGGTGCTGCGCAAACTCTTCACATCGTCTCTCGTGTCCACTCTTCTCTGACAGTTCTCTATAAGAGATTTCTGCAAAGGAAACTTGTATTTATCAAGCCATCTCTTTCTGTAATGACACACCGCTGTCGAGGAAACCCTCTTCACATACTGTACACTCAAGGACATTGATTTGTTACCTGTAGGCCAATGTTAGCAGTTATAAGGGAGCTGTTCATCTGATCGAAGCTGTCCATGGCTTCCGTCCGGACCCTCACCTCTGACTCCAGACTCCTCCGATGTGAATTTGCAGTCTGCAGAAACACATGTCAGACTCTATTTTAGTCTTTATTCACAGCTTGACACACTTGGAGTTTGATTAGGAAGTTTGGAGAAGTCACACAGTGTTACATAATTAATTACCCTGATTTCCTGTGTAAGACTCTGCATGGATTGTTGCATTCCTCCGAATTGCCCGTACATCTTCTCTCTCACCTTCTCTAAAGAATCCCTCACCTGTACAGAACATACAGATATTACATAACAGATATTGTACACACATAGCTGCCTTGAACAGATGACGTGTGGACCTGAAGGCCCAGATGCTTGCTGTGTTAGTTTCCACTCACCTCCCTGATGTACTCCATCTCACGCTGAAGGTGATTGACCGACCACTCGCGCGCCATCACTTCCTGCTGTCTGTCCGAACCCGTCCTCTGCACTACGCCGTACACTTTGGGCCCATGATTCTGCAGTGCGGTCTCTGGCGCCCCATTGGTCATGTCTCCGAGCTGCTGAGGGAGACAGGATCTCAGCGGTCAGGTTTCTGTGGCCACCCTCCACTGAGGCTGACTTCTGCTGTCATTGTGTTTGTGTAATTGTGTGCTCGCTTATGTGCACGCATGCACTCTTTTAAGTGCATTACATGTTTGTGTCTCGATGCACATGCCTGCATTTGTACACTTGCTCAGGTATTTCTAGCATTACTGCTGCTGAGCACTGGAAACAGGAGGATGGGAACAAACAGATAGAAAAAAGTGCAGGGTGTATTGGAGGTGTCATGTTTCTGCAACCCGGTACATGAGCTGCTGCCGTGTCTGCCTATTGTACTTCCAGCAGCCGGGCAACCCATGAAAACAGATGCAAACCAGCAGGGGAGAATTGAAGCATTTTAAACAATGCAATAACTAAATAAAAAACGACAGTTTTAGTCATGGGCACAGAGATTCAATTTCTTTAAATATTGTAGTGCTGTAGAGCAAGAGGCCAATGTTTTGCCTGGGAATTAGAAAGAATCATCGGTTTATATACAGTTGGAAAGAAAAAGACAAATCTAATTTATTACAGTCATCTACAAGCATCTGTTCATGTTGAATATCGATGTAATCATTATAATGACAGCCTGAAGGTATGTGCAGTGAAGCGTGTTTTACGATGGGAATGTCAGTGACACACAGGCGTAGGCAGTGGTAGTGTCAGCCTATTATTCATGTGCTGGATGTTGCTGTCTACCTGCGGAGGAGACTCCCTGCCAGCTGGCCTGCCTCTTTGGGTCAGCCCATTCTTCTTCTTCCATGCCACTCTGACGTCCTTCTCCTTCTCAGTCTAAAGGAACAAACAAGTATTCAAGACTGCTGTTGTGGAAAATTCACTTCATTCCAGGTGAGGATCCTGGAAGTTCAGAACTCTACAAAAGAAGTGTTATTATTATTGTGCAAACATTCCACCGATACCTTATAATTAGCAACGTTTTCACACGTCACATGTAGACAAGCTGCCCTCTCAACAAGACACGTAATGCAAGCAATCTGTTATGCTTCTTTTTTAGTTGCAATTTTTAATGGTACGTGACTACGTGACAGTAGTTAATTGGAGATCATGTGGTGGGTATTGGAAGTGGGCCTGTCTTTAAAATGATCAAGACATATCAACTTGTTTTCACTTTAATTGCTTTTGCAAGACAAATGTCCAGATAGATAGATAGATAGATAGATAGATAGATAGATAGATAGATAGATAGATAGATAGATAGATAGATAGATAGATAGATAGATAGATAGATAGATAGATAGATAGATAGATAGATAGATAGATAGATAGATAGATAGATAGATAGATAGATAGATAGATAGATAGATAGATAGATAGATAGATAGATAGATACAGTAGATATATAGATAGATAGACAGATAGACAGATAGATAGATAGATAGATAGATAGATAGATAGATAGATAGATAGATAGATAGATAGATAGATAGATAGATAGATAGATAGATAGATAGATAGATAGATAGATAGATAGATAGATAGATAGATAGATAGATAGATAGATAGATAGATAGATAGCTCTCATCTGCAGAGAAAGGGGCTTCTCTCTCCAGAGATAAGAGTGAGGAGGAACTTGAACAAAGCAGCCAGTGTTGTCTCGTGGACAGAGCCGAGCCTCACATTTCTCCACCGCTTCATCTACAGAGGACGTGCTGTTGAGAAATGGTGAAGGCCTGCTAATAGGCGGATGCGAATTCCAGCAGATGGGAGGGAAGAACAGCCGTCTTTATGTTTTAACAACACTGCGGCCTGCTATCTGAGAGAGGGCTCAGAATAACAATGTGCTGTCACTTCAGCCTTGAATTTCACAATGCCAATATTTACCACAATGCAATGTTTACCTGCTTGGAGCTGAAATTGCAGGCATGGCATTTTGGTGGAAGGAATACAATGGGTTTCTTTTGTTTTGTTGCTTAAAGGACATGACCTCCTCACAGAAGCCGCCCACTGCGAGTATCATGTAATCATGCAAAACTTCTTAAAGACGTCACTTGGAAATAGTGCTCGTCACAGCATCATCAAACACTTTGTTATCTGCCTATTTTATTATATGACTGCATTGTGAAGGACACGACTGATTGGATTAGCTCTTATTTCTGATGCAAACAAGAAAGTTGTATTTGAAGTCACAACACAAAGATCCTCTTATGTATGTAATTGGACTGAATCATGTTCACGGTAATGAGGCTTTTAGCCATTGTGTCAATGAAATCCAATGATGTTGATGTAGAAACTTCTATATGAAGTAACTGTCTCTAAGTCCCATGTGTATGTGTTTCATGGTGCAGATTTGTTACATCTCATCTAGGTCATAGTCACTTGTTGGATTGGGCACATGATGTATCAGGTTGCAGGATGCACCCTTTCTTATTTTATGGTGAATAACCACTTTACTAGGGTTTCTCCTGAAACTCAATATCTCTAGCAGAGGAAGCTTCCATCATTTCCTTCCTCTTTGATTAACTTCACGTTATCCCTGTTTTCTTTTTGTTCCACAAAGTCACAAAAGTAAACACTCAAAACCAAGCAACTGACCTTCATTTGACTTTCCCTCCAGATTACATCTAAGATCACACATTGAGCAACTTTAGTAGAAATGTGTTGGCTCATAAAAGCACAAAGATGACCCATGTCAAATAAAAACAATACAAATTGTACTGTTAAATCAAGCCTGCTCAACACTGTGAGACTGTGCTGGTATTTAAATGCTGTTTTAACATCAACAGAGTTACGTGTCACAGCAGTTACAGCAGCGCCTGCACAGAGCCCTCAGTGCTGCATACATAATGCCCACATGAAGAGGACAGTGAAAGGTGAGTTTTTAAACTATTGAGCTCTCATGCTCCCCTTAAAGTGCCTTCAAAATTATGTGTTTTCTTTTTTAAATGTACAACAGTTTATATGCACATTTAGAATTTGCTTGTTTAAGCACTTAAGGGAAAAGACATTAGATTGAAATTGAGTGAACATTTCATTTTTCAGTTAGCATCATCCCACATTTTTGGAATTTGGTTTCAATTTAAACAATTCACTTTCTTGCTGAGAGAAGATTTATACCACTCTTAAACAATAAACTATTTAAACATTAAATATGTAGCTAGCAAAGGCAACAAAAAGATTGAAATCAGGGGAAAACAGCTAGCCTGGCTATGTCCAAAGTTGACCAAATATTCCTACAAGAACGTCAAAAGAGAATTATTGACACTTTACATCTTCCCATAAAACAACAAATTGTAATTTTAACAAATATTTGTAGTAAACAAATTAAAACATATTATTTTTAGACAGAGCCATGCAAGCTGTTTCCACCTGTTTCCGGTCTTTGTGCTAACTGTTGAAAGAAGTGTAAAAGTGAATTTTTCATCATATTATTATTCCTCAAAGGGCCTTTCTTACTATTGTGTTTTACTCTCTACATTTCCTCCGATAAATGTTATTGCCCCTCAGGCCTCAGTTGTTTGTAACAACAGTTACAAAGGGAGAATGTGCTGCCCAGTTGCAGGGCTGCAGAGTAGTTGCAGGGCTGCAGAGTAACTCCTTCACTAAACACACTCTGAAATACACGTCACCACCGAGCACATGTCTGTTACTCTTCAATTGTGATCACTCTTGACCAGACTGTCCTCTCACATCAGTTCCAATAGTCACGGTCACACCCTTCAAAGGGAAGCACGTTCAGAGATTGCAGCAACGTGCTATCAGTGGATAGTGTGTAGGTGTGGTTTCTAGATGAACACCATACTCCCTGGCTGACCAAGGTTCATACAAAACCATGTTTCTTTAGTGATTCCATACTTTAAGGACCAAAAACCTTTTCAGTGCCAACAATAAGTTTAGTATCAACACCAGTTCTCACGCTGGCATCAGCCTCTGGAGCCGATCCTGGACGCAAACAAAGGCCGAGCCACCTACAGCAAACAGCCACGCTGCCTGCAGCATATACTCACAAGTAAAATGCACTGTCACAATATGCAGAGAAACTGTCTAATAATGCAGTTTGGTAAGAACATGCAAATGCTCGTACTATATTTGTTTAGTTAATAGAGTTTGAGTTCACACTGTGTCTCAGGAGGTGTGATATAGTTTCTTCAGCAACTATTTCAAATATTTTCTTTTGTATGGAATAGATTTACAGCTTTGAAGTATATTTGAAACAGCTGTGAGTGCATTATCACACCCTCCTGTCATGATTATGTAACTGGTCCAGATGATAAATCTCTGTGGCTATAACTTACCGTTTCCGAGTTTGCTGTTGTTGGCTCCTTGTTTCCATCATCTGCCGCAACTAGAGTTAACCTGAGGCGTCTGATCCTCCTCTGAGAAAAACAAACAGACCAAAAGCAAATCAATTATTTGCTGTACGCAAATACATGTTTGCATTATGTCATAGTAGGTGGGAGTGAGGCTATAGAGGAGTTCACACTGTAACTGAGGCATTGAAAGGGTTGACAAACCTCACAGACCTCAATGGTCCACTACAGTGGTTTTATTTATAGTCAATGGTATCAGAGTGGCAAGCAAAGTTTATGTAAATGCTACGATACTGATACATCTTAATGTTTACAACACAGTGAGAGCTTTATTTGGTTGTGTAACACACAAACATTTAGATAGGTTTAAAAGTTTTTATTTCAAAAAACGTATTTTCTGCAATGTTGAGTTTACCAATTTACAAGAGGTTCTTTATTCAGTACAAAACAATGGGAATAAGTTTAAAAGCCAGTTTAGTACAAAGGCCGGTTTTATCAGAGAGCTGTTCAAATAAACATGACAGCCATGCCTCCTGCAACCCAGCTCCCATTACACGCTCCTGTAAATGAACACATCCTATCACAAACATTAACTTTCAGATGATCAGGGAACAGACCATGTTTGCTTGGACTGAGAAAGTTAATCTCACTGTATACAGACAAGGAACAAGTGGCTGCACAAAAAGGAGCAGAGGACAGAAGAGGGAGGGGAAACTAAACTGTTTTGCAAAACACAGAGGAAAAGGGAGAGAGAAGGGGAAGACAGAGGGAGAGTTTCAGTGTCCTGACTTCTCTGGGACTTTCTTACCTCACTTGAAAAGTCTTCAGGGTCCTCTGTTGTTGTGGTGCTGGTGAATACAGACCGTCCTGATCCGTAGCGTTGCATGTCTCCTCTTGTGTCCACTCGTTTCCCTTCCTCTCCCTCTCTGGACGTCCTCCCACCCTTCCTCTCGCTACTCTTTCCTGAGTACTGCTCAGACTCTCAGAGCGACCATCTGCCCCCGGCTCCAGCCAGCCATAGTAGAGGAGGGAAATTCCCGTCTGTCAAGTCTATTAGTGGTGGTGGTGGGGTCCACAGGACTCTGAGCTTTCCTCTCTGTTAGTGAAATAATCAGGTGCAATCCAGTTCAACACTCACCAACACAAACAGAACTTTGTCATTGTCTTAATTCCAGCCAGACTGCTTTAAACTTCACCAGATTGACAGGCTTGTCAGTCACTCAGCAACCTCTCTGCCTCTCTCTCTCTATGTGTGTGTGTTGCTCTCTATTGCTCTCTCTCTGTGCCTCTGCATTCCCATCAGACCTGTCGGGCCACTTTTCAGCTGCCTCCCTGGTGTGTGCCTCATACCCTGTGAGAACAGGACATTCACAGGGCGGGTCCTCTTACCCGGGACAGGTGGAGCACTTCTTATCAACAGAATTGGCTAAAAGGAGGAGCTGTTTATTAATGTGGAACTTCACAGAAAAGGAGTATCCCTCTGTCATCCAGTGACAGCTAAATTATGTTAGTCATATTTGTGATATTGTCAAATATATGTTTACTAAATAATGTTGGTCTATTTGCTGTTTTATCAAAAGCTTGGTTAAACACTTTGCAATGTAGGAAAGTAACACAGTATGTTGGTTCACATTTGAGGTACCAAGGTACGGAGGTATTTAAAGTTCTTCCTACTTTAAACTTTATTCTACCATATTTCAGAGGAAACTACTTCACAAAAGATGTTCTATAGTTACGGTTAGGATTTAACACACACATGATAATCCCATATTATAAAACATAACAAATGTAACTATGCAACCATATATAAAGCAGTTAAACATAGCTACATTTTGACCTAAAAAGTACTACTTTCCTATTAATGCATCGATAAAATGAATCCATGAATACAATGATATGACATTTTAACGGCAGGGATCCTCATGAATACTGAGAACTTTAGGGTGTAAACTTTTATTTATAATGGAGTATTTGTTTAGTGTGGTATTGCTACTTTCACAGTACTTTTAAGTAAATTATTCGTCCAGTAGTGCCGCTGTGAATAAAATATCTTCATTGGATTTAATTGAGTCATTTCATGGTTATATTAAAGGTACAGGCGGTGTTTTGTTGTACAGGATATGTTTCAGCCAATAAATTATTGATGCTGTTGATAGTGGATAGTGATGAAAAGGAAGACAACACGGCAATCATTATTTGTTTATGTTATTGTTAAACCTTCTGCTTCACAATTACTCCTTCACTTGGTTTTACACTATATTAGCTATATTAGGTATTAGCTATACTCATTAGCTGATACTTACTCATCTTTAAGGAACAGAAAGACAAACACCCTCACAAACCAGATCACATTCCTGTAGTCACTCCCTTTTAAATAGAAACTGGAGAAACACTAGCGTCGCAGAGGACAAGGAGCGTCAAGTTTAATTGCCAAAGTTGCCAAGCAAAGGCTCGTTCGTTAGTATTGCTGTTAGCTGATGTCAAAGTAAATATGAAAAGAAACATATTCAGAGCAACATAAGGGCTATTTCTACAAGCCTTATTGGTCAATCAGTAACTAGACTTCAAACAAATAGTGTTTCTTTACTTATGCAATCAGTGAGCCGCTCACTCCTCCAGGCCTCTATCCAAGTCCAATGTCATGTGGAAATGCATGTGGAAGTCCTCTCCCTTAAACAATAGACATACCACATTTACTTCCTGTCGTGATTGCACTCTTATTGGTTTCGGATCAGATCTTGCTGCATCATCAGATCAATCCAACGGGAACAAATGTATGTTGACTTAATGTATGCCAATAAGCACAAGCAACGTTAACAGCAGTTATAGAAGATAACTAAGTACATTTACTCAAGTATTGTGGTACAAGGTGCTTGTTACTTGAGTATTTCCATTCCATTCATTACTTTTACTCAACTACAAATCAGAGGGAAATATCGTACTTTTTAGTCCACACATGTATTTGACAGCTGTAGTTACTAGTAATCTTCACAAAAAACTAATGATGAGCTTTTAAAATATGACGTTCTGTCAGAGCTGACCTTTAGTTCTAATTAGAGCTGAAACAATTAGTGAATTAATCATAGGCTACTCAATGACGATTTCCTTTTTCTTATCTTATCTTAAATTATATTACACTGATTAATTTCTATATATTACTTTGGGTTTTTAGAAATGATGAAGGGCATTTCTCTCTACTTTAAAATGTATTGATGTCGCAGCACCATATAGATTTATTGTAACAACAACAACATGATAATTATCAACATGATTAAATGCACCATTGTGTGTATTACTATATAACAATTCCTGTGGTGATGTACAGTGATGAGTCTACAGATTGCAATCAACTGAATGTCTCTCCACTCACCCGTCCCTTTCCAAGCGTCTCTGAGCAGCATGGGGGCCTTTAGGTAATGTAAACACAAAAGGCCCTCTACATCGAAGAGCTAAGTTGCATGTATAGTTTGGTTACCGCCTCCACGGTACAGTAAGGTTTTTGTTTTCCTAGGATTTTGATGTTGAAACCAACAACAAAAGCTGTTGTCTGTTAAGCGTCCCTGCAGCAGTGGAATTCAGGTTAACTTGCGTTTTAAAGAGACATAAAGCAGCGTAACAAATGTTGAGTGACGAATTTGCAGTCTGTGATGAAATGCTACAGCTTCACGATGCTGCTCTGTTTTCAGAAATGTGTGACAATCCTAAGCAACTGAACGTTTGATCATACTGGCAATGATTTTTTTTAAATAGTATATGTTCATGTACAGCCAAAGAGATTGGTGCACTTTAGCCTGAATATAATTTAAATGTCTGCTTTAAAAACAAATGTGTGCTCTTCAATGGATAAGTTTAAATTGTTTAAGTCTGTCTTAAAACAAAACCAACATGTCTGTCTTATCCGTTGTCTTGTCCATACTGGTTGCAAAGATATTCTGGAAGCAATTTATCTTGTAAGTTATAGGAGACAGTCCTTATTCTTTGTGAAAATGACTTATAGATCAGCTGAAGCTAATATAAAGCTTTAGCCAAAGTTACAGTATGTCCCTCTTTGTATATCCACAAACACAGTTTTCTTGCTAAGCATAGGGGAGGGACAGTTACAAAATGAGGGAATTAAGTACTTGAATTAAGAGTGAATTTAAGACTATCACTTTGTGAGTTGTGTAACTGCCGAAGCCTTATTATCTTTGGCTAAACTGTTATCTGCACAAAATGAGCACCGTGGATTTAAGGTATTAGGATAAATTAGGGTGTAGACTACCGTGCAATAGATTTTCGATATGGCAAGGCTCAGTGCCGACATAAAAGGAAACGCTGACAGCTTTATGGATCCTAGCCTTTAACTGTTTGTTCAGTGAAATCACATAAAAGGAGAGGGCATGTTGTACTGGCTGGTTGTTGATGTTTCAATTAAGTACACATCACAAGTGGATATATAGATCATAGTTGAGGGATAATGCCCTTTAAAACAACATTATTGTGTAAGGGATTAAGTATTTCCCTCTGTTATAATGTTTAGCTCAGTCCTATGCCTATTGATAACTTGACAATGTTGTGTTGAACATTGCAAGACTATAATCACAACAATGCAAATAATCTGACACTAATCTGATGATCAATGATGTCAGGTGTTATATTCTAGATCTATGGATCAATGTTCTTGTCTGGAAGAATCAACTGAACAGTCTTTCACATAATTGATTGAAAACAAACACTTCCATTGTTACCTTGTAGAAATGGACTCATGTATGTCAAAGATACATTAGTCAAAAATGTAAACTATGTGTTGAAAGAGTTGAGACATGACAGTGCTCCATACAAACTAACTGAAATCAGGTTTGTCCTGCTCCTCTAGTACATGGTCTACACTCAGTATGCAGGCAAAGTTGTTTTTAAAGGAACTTTTTTAAGTAAAAGGAACCCTTCCAGGGCCTTGAAACAGTTTCACCTACATGGAATACAGTTATTATTAATTGGCCCTTAAAACAAGTGTTATTAGGGTGTAGCACTGTCTCCAAATGTAAAAGAAACTTCAATATATCTGAAGTGGAGATACTGTATATAGTGTTGTCCTTTTGCATGTGTATCTTGCTTTATTGTAGACAACTCAGAAGACAGCGAGTATCGTTAACTGTGCTTTATTCACGCTCTGTACTACATCATAACTGGTGTCACACTTATAACATTCCGGGTATTCACAACTCCGGACCAAAGAGTATGTCACAACATTACACTGTACTTCTGCATGCAGTGAAGGCCAAACCAACTTCATATTTAGTAGCATCAGTAGTGGTTTTAAAATATCACAAAAAAAGTTGCATGTGATGCTATTACTTGTTAAATGTTAACATGTTTAAAAACGAATATGGAGCAGACATAAACACAATAAAAAGAATACACATAACAAATCAGATTCACTATATAAGGCTCTTCTTTTCACAGTTTTATAGAATCTGCAGTATTTAATGCATCATGGTAGGATTTGATGTATACATGAAGACAGTAAGGTTGTACATTTTATGGAATAAATATGATATTTTGCAACAAATGTCTATGCTCTAATTCTATATTCTAATAATAATTACTTCTTTCTAATGTTGCTAGGAAGAAACTTTTAAAAAGGAACAAAGGAATCTAAAGGATCCACTATAACCAGTAGCTTTATTTGGAAGTTTAAACGGCTAGTGACAAGTTAAGAAGCTTACTTTGTCTGTCAAGAATGTGTTTTTTTATATAATAATGGATGATTCATCCTCTTAAAAAACCTTTGATTACAGTAAGCATCTAATAATGTATGATATTATCATTGACACTGGCATAAGAGGATGATGTAGGATGAGAGAGGTAAGATGGAGTATCAGAGGTCAAAGGTGGATAACTGATCTTTCATGTGGAAAAACTTCCTGTAACCCCCCCACTCTGCATCCCCTACCATGTGACCAATCAGAGAGCAGCAGCTCATCCTGCCCAGACACAGCCGTCCACGCCTCGTTCAACTATAGGCGTATCACTCGTAAACACACACACTCAAATGCACGCAAGAGTACACACACAACTGTACACACTCGGTAATGCACTGTGTTCAACAGTGTACACAGACTTAGAGTTCTAATAGTACTTGACATTTTCATTATTATACTGTTTTTCATCAATATATTATAGGTCTCAGATATATACAAAACATGTCTCTGAAGTGTTTGGCTCAAAATAACAAGCAGATCACCCATTGTAGCATCCCATAATCCCCTCTGTTTCAACCCTGTTTCAAAAGTGCTGATTCTCTGTCTGTTACTTTAGATGAAAATAAGGAGCCACTCCCCACGCCCCTCTGTGAGATATTTGGTTAAAAAGAACACAATGG